GAAACGTAATCGGCAAGAAAACATGAAATGCCATGGCGCGGGAGATGCGAAATATTTAAACCCAGACAGAATAAAGCTCTCATCAAAGCAAATGGAAAATATAAACAAAGCAAAAGGGGGAAAAGAGAAAAGCATAATTAAACTACGCACAATTATAATGATATGGGGTGTGCGATAGACTTACCTCCACACGTGGTGCCCTCTGGGCAACGTATACTCATACGGCAAAAAAGTCTATTAACCGGCAGCTGACTTCTCACTACAAACTACCATCGCCCTATTGTATGTCATACTCGGTCACTTCAACGGTACTCACCTCACCTTATTTCTGCCTTTGTGTTTGTCTCTTTTACACCTTTGAAATACACTTCGGTTCCCCCCTCCCCCCCCCTCTCGACTTTTTTCACTTTGATGTTCCTTCCCTCTATGAAGCCTGAAGTCAACTAAGGGGCTAATGATAACTATCAAAACGTCTGCAATTTGATATAAATAAATAAATTATAATGATATAATAATGAGTTGTTTAAAGATATCATGATGCATTGATAAAAAAGGCGCTATGGAATCGTACCCTATACAGAATTGTAACGAAGACATTCATAAGTCGGACAAGCATATCTAGCGAATTAAAGTTGGCGAAATCGATGCTCATCAGAACACGTCCAGTAACGAAAATGATCAGCTGCACTGATTAATTCTGATCCCCATGAGGAGTGGTAATGTGAACTACACACCAGTTGCTACAGGAAGCCAACCTTGCACCCAGATCAAGTGACAATTTAATGCATTGCTTAATTGACCCGTGAAGGAAAATTATTGAAATTTGAGAACTCACCACCAATACCCCCTAACAAACTTTCGAAAATTTATTCCATTATTAGGAAAATGTCATTGCACTGTTTGCTTTCATTAAAATTGTAAATCAAGAAAAAATGCCATCAAAAGCGAAAAAATGAGAGAAGCGTGTAAAACTACTTATTTTGGGCTTAAAGAATAAAAATCCAAATACCGCCACCAATTTATGGGTGGTCGTTCTACTCACACGAAGTTAAATATTGCTTTCTAATCCACTTCAATAGCACTTAAAATTGGATAAAATAAACCTCATGAAGAGGGTTAATGAAAAGTTGGCGTCTTCAGAGAGCACCAGTCGCTTACATGAACACAACGCGTCAATTACACTATGATGGAGCATAACAAAAGCACATGCCCAGATCCATGCATAACCCCCTGGGGGATTCATACAAAAAATAAGGACACAAGTTATAGAATTAAGTCATTAATGGTTAGGGTTAGGGATAAGTTAATAACGGATCACACACAAATCGAATTTTAAATAAAAGATTTTTAGGCCTACTCGTCTCATGTTCCCTTATTACTGAAAATATTCAGTGGTTAAAGAGAAGCTAAGTATCAATTACCCAATCAAACTTAAGCGAGAAAACAGATGGGCAAACAGAATGCGCGCTCGAACAAGGCAAAAAAGGTTGAATTACTTAAAGTAAACTATATCTTATTCCATTAGAACCTAAGATGAATGTGTTGAGGTTCGTTCTTACAAAGAGCGCTTCCTATCGCTGTTGAACTTACTAAAACTTAAACAGTGAAGACATGAATATGGTAACTACGATCGTTTTACCTCTGAAACATTCGTAAATAAAGTCTAATCTAATCTCTAATTTGAAGAAAAATTGAAAATAATTTGTCACTGCACACAAACCTGTAGTTAAAAATGTTCCGGAGAAAAATCCAAAAATTATATGAACCCAGTAAGCGAAATATGTTGCTAAAAGACAATCATCGTTGGGACAATTGTAATATATTTCACATGAAAAATCTCAAGTGTCCTGAGATAAGCTGAAGGAAAGTGTAAAGTAACAAATAACCAACATCAACTAACTAAAAATTGGGGATGGAGAAAGCCTGACTTCAACTTGCTGCAAATATTTTAACCAATTTGATCAAATACTGGGGGGGGGGGGAGCATGACAAATTAGCAACTCTACACGAAAGGAGGAAGGTAATAAGGGGAAAATAGAAAATCAAGAATGGTGTGCATTGTCTTAAAAATAATTAAAGATTCATAAAAGAAATTTAACAGAGCTATCATGACATAAGTGCATACCATAGCATGCTGAGAAGCACTGCCACCACCAGGGGGTTGTCGGGGGAAATGCATGATTCCGTAGGTGGTGGAAGGCTGGCCTGTTGCAGCGCCCCCTCGAGAAGGAGGATGAGGTGGAGGAGCAGGGGAGACAGGAGCAGAACGTGCTGCAGGTGAGTGACGATGACTGAGGGATGTAGGCGGAGTTGGACCCGGACTGCTCATCGTTGTGCATCCACCGGGGACTATATTGGTAGCAGTGGATGGCACCAACATAACTCGACGATTGCTGCTACTTCCAGTATCAGGCGGACGCCAAAATTGCGAAGCCGCATTGACGGGTGAGTAACTCGACTGAGGTGGGCAGATTTGTGAATGCATGTATATGCTGATTTTAATGTCACTAGGTGACTATATCACATAATCCAAGTGCTTAAACTAAACAAATGAATATGAATAGAATTGAATCATCAAAGAGCATAAGAAAATCGAAATAAAAGAATGCCAAAAATATCTGAAAATCAATTGTAAAACAGGCTTAATGCATAGCAAAGAACAATTTCATCGATAGTGATAACGAAGGTTCCGATACAGTATATAGTGCGAAAATAAAAATGAACATAACTATATATGCAAAAAACAAAATGTAAAATTACGCACAAATTTAACACCATAGTAAATAAATAACGATTTAACACTACTCTTCGTGGTATCAGTGACTGCAAACATGGAACGACGCAACTTACGAAAGCACCTACTACAAAAATAATTATTTGCGCGGGTTTAAAGATTAACCTTGAATATCGTCCATCTATAATGATCGCACTTAAAATAATTATTTCGTAATTAATAAACGCGCTTAAAATACGCTTTCTCTTATCTTATTGTTAAAATGTAATGCTTTAGCAGATAGTTTAAGAATTTTAGTTCAAATAAATGTTGCATAGAAGAGCACCATTATTATCAAAGATATTATTTCATACTTATTAGCAAGATGTATTATTTCCTAATAAATTACGTTAATATGCAATATCTTAGCCATTTATATTAGATTTATCATTTATCAGCGTGTTGGCTTGAAAAATTTAACTTGAATAACATATATATTTGCAAAATAACTGAATTCGTAACCTTTAGGCCATTAACCAGAATTTAACAGATCACAATATGATTTCATATTATAAATGTAATGCATTCAACTGCTATTCGAGATACTCATCATTACTTCTATCTTGTTTTTATGGAAACCTAGTAAATTTTAACGGCTCATAATTTTGCCTTCATATAACCATAATTTTCATTAAAATAACTTATCTAGATTTGGTGCTTTCAAATTACTGGTGTGAGATGTCTTTACCTGATTTGATTCTAATTAGACTGTAAATTATTTCATCAGAGATCGATGTTCTTTACCAATAAAACACCGCTGAATTGCTGAACATATTTCAAATAATATCAGAACATTCTGGCTATTTAGAAATTTATACCTACCAAAAATAGGCATAATTTCAAATATCAAGGAACCAGGCACATCGATGTACTCATTAAATATGGAATTGCTTTCTGACGTCATTATTTGTACATCCATTTGTTATCACTAAGTTAAGATTATCTCGCTCTAATCCGAATCGAGAGGTCATTCATTTCTATTCCTTAAAATCACGAATATTTTAATTTACTCTTATACAAATCAATTTGTCTTCTATGTGGCTACAAATTTTACGTGATATAATTCAGTGTCACGAAGATATGTGACTTGTAATAACGTAGTGATATGTATCGTTTTGTTTACAGTAATATCAGATTTGCGCTTGTAACGATCTTTCATTGAGACTCGAAGAGCCGGTTAATGTGTCGCAACGAGACGAGCAGATCATGATAATGCAACGACTATATATTTATGAACTCAAATCCTCTTCTATAAAACAACCGGAAAAAGTGTCCTAATTAACGATCAAGTGATTAATAGAGCTGCATGCCAATGGTTTGATATTCATGCACTATGTATATTAAAACTAGTCTTACAGTTTTACTGAACCTAATTTAAATGTATGTGCCTGTGCCCAGAGCGGCTACATTACCATCTGTCGTTACACTCTTGATGGGTATAGGCTACTAGGGTATGAAATGATCACAATTTCTCATTTTAATTCTTATACCTTTTGATACATACTCCTATCTTTCAGACTTTCAAGTCTACTTGCTTTTTCAATACGATTTTCATTAACGAAGAACTAGCAAGCTCATGCTTTCTGCAAATAAGGGTGACGAGAGAAATCAACAATTATGCATATTTGTCGATTGTGGGTTTCCTAACTAACCTAACTTGGGCAATTATTTAAACTTGCTGAGCTAGATAGTTCCTACAGCTTCACTTAATCTTTCTCTAGTCAATATCCCTTTAAGTTATAAACTAGACCTGAATACCTTGTCTTTTATTTTTTTAAACTCTCTCAATAAGTAACAGGGATTTTAACTATGTAATCAGCATAAGAACTGTATTATTAGTGAGCCTTAGCGTTGATATTTCAAAATTTTCACACTCCTACCAGACATGATTGCTATTATTGACACCTCCATCAAAGCTGCTCCTTTGTTGTCCCAAGCCAGTTATAAGTACCTTGGTAGTGTGAATTCTATAGGGCTGACAAATCCCCCTTCAAGAAATTAAACACACTTGGCCCATGCATGCTTCAATTCTACTTGAAAAGCCCCTGTGTAGTTTAGATTTGAAAATAACTGTCTGCCCAATTTTGTTCGTCATCTTCTATTTTTGACGCAATTGACATAAGACAAACCCAGAGGCACATCAAACAGGTATAAATACATATATGTATATATATAGTCAAAAGGTGATCGAATTGGGGAAATGTCTGACAATGGAAAAGACGAGGGCCTATTCCATTTCCATAGAGACTTCTTCTACACTATCCGCGGGATTCGATTGCCTTTCAGGTGGCGGTTGATTTATAGACTGCGATGGAGCAGCAGAAACACGAGCGATGTCGAGGTCCTCTCGAATATTGGGAACGCCCTGGGGAGGACCAGAGGACAATGATGGATTTAGTAATTGAAATCTCTCTTTTGGAGGCATTTCAGTTATATCTAAAATGGCGAAAAAGAGCGAGTCAACAGTGAAAGTATAACAACTCAGTGCAATTTGATATACGGAGAAGATCTATACTATAAACAAAGCAGGTGTTCTAGGTGACCGTCTCTACAGCTTCCTGAGTTAGTTAGAACATTTAGCAACCGAATTCCACGAATTTCTAGCAAACAGTACGGACAAGCATCAGTAATATCAGACTATTTCGGACATTGAAAGGATTTTAAAATGCCTAGATTTTAGGAAGGAAAATGTATGGGTAGTTCACTTTTTTTATTGGTTTAATAGTTAACTAGAGTTATTTCCTAATCGAATGTTTAAAGATGAGCAGTTTATCGAAATAAGAGGCAAAGTAAGGCATCATGATGGAATAAGTGACAATTTCCTCATGAATTAGTCAATTTGACACTTCTGTAGCTTTCCATCTTCAATTTGCCATTTGTGATAATTAGTCGTTGACACAAATGCCATGCGACAAAATATATGTCTGGGCAAGTAATGTAACGACTGATTAATTTAACATAAAGACTAACTCAGAAATTAACCATTCGAGTGTTTTAAGTTACAATAATCTACTAGTTTCCAATTTTCAAGTACTACAAGAATCTCAGTAAGCACCCATTCATAAGAGAAATATTTATGGTGATCTATACCTACCCCTTCCAACAGCGAATTCTTCTTTGTCCTCTTCATTGGTACATCGAGCGGCAGCATCGGCAGCATTTGTGGCAGAAGTGGGACCAAGAGGGTAGTCAGGGAGAAAAACGGTCTCCAGCTGCCTCGCATACATCCTGTGACAGAAGTTGAGGAGGTCAACAGTGATGGTGGCTTGCACCCGCGAGGCATGAAGTGGCAAAGCCGTCTGAAGGGCACGGATCGCTTGACCAAAGTGACCCTGTTGAGCGTAGACTAATGCCATAGCCTCCAAAGTTCGCGGAGAGTTTTCAACCAACTTTAGAGCGGCCTTGTGCATTTCTAGTGCCTCATCAAGTTGTCTATAAAAGAAGGGGACACATCATCCGACACTTTAATAACTGCTAGGGGCCACGTCGTGACTCAACACCACAGATCACCAAGGCATCAACTGTGGCAAGCATATGAGGACGTTCTGATTTGATAGATTGACAAAGAGTATAGACAATATTAATGCTGATTTAGGGGTAGTCAAGCCTTAAACCAAACATAAAAGGCGTTTGTGTGCCCAAAGGTGCAGCGATGAATGTGGGTGTCTGCAAGCTAACAGCATGAGAACAGTAATGACCAAATGAAGTGACAGAAGGTGTTTACCATAAGAGGGGCAAATTGTCTAGAAATAAAGGAATATACATTCATTAGGAATGAGTCAGATGTATTTTTAACCAGATAACTAGAAACCGTCCCACAGTACTTCGTTCATACATTTTAAGCAATAAATTATATGCGAGAGAAAAGGATGGAAAAATCCAACCCTATAGAATCGGTATCAGCTACTAATACCGATGAAATAATGGAACAAGGATAAAAGAGTACAAGTGAGGAAATAATGGCCTCTTAAGGTTCGTGTTCACGTTGGTGGCACGTTCTACCGCACGGAGTGACAAAGTTACAAGTTTAGTCACTTCCAACGCGCTTGGTGGCTTATAACACCAATGGGTAGCTCTTAGAATATAATCATTTCTTCAAAATTGTATGATTTCATATACAGGCTAGCACTACCCAAGTTGGGAGCAGGAAATAATTGAATGCCAAAAGATGGACAAAACGCAAAGTCCAATTTTACTTTACGCTATTTACTTGTCAACCATTTTGACGTCAATAGAAAAAAACATCTCCTACTTTACAGGAAGTGTAGTTGATCATTCATTTCCTCTGATAGTTGAATCCTTCCATAATCCGCTTGTGCTTTCTAAGTTTCGTTAGTTAGAGTCATAAATGCTTCCTTGTTAATCTGCAAGAATTCTCCTTTCGTTCCGAGTATATACGCACTCATTTAGTTCCGACAGACGTATCAATTAATCAGTAAGTTCTGCATCTTAATTGTTCCATTTTCGTTTTATCATTTGAGATAATAGTAAAATTAACCTTTCTGTGGTGGCAAAGACTTGAAATGAGTATGCGAATTACAATTAAGCAAAAGACTCACCCAAGTTGCCGATAGGTGAAGGCCAAATTGTTGAGAAGTGGTTCCCAGTAGGGCGCCAGGACTTGACCACTGAGTGCACAGGCGCTTTTGTACGCCGCCTGCAGATACTTCAATGCAGTATCAAAACTGAAATCAACATTTTGACTCTGTAAAACCGCAAGCTTAGACAGAAATTAATCACATAGAGTCGAGGAAATATTGATGAGTGACTAATAATTAATAAGCTAAGTTACAAATATAAAAAACTAAATAACGCAACCTTTCTCTTCTAAAAAATGGACGGAATAGATAGGGAATGATTGCGCATTGTTTGCTAAAGTAGTCATTAAAGAGAATGCTCTATCTCAGGCTATTATCGCCTATTAAAAGCCGACTGAATTTTTCATGGAGAAGGCACTTTACACTTCATTAGATTGTAGTTCGAGAGACCGTTTGGATGGGTATGCATTTTAATTCAATTCTCCATCAGAAGGTTGCAATGACCATGAAATATACAAATCGATTGCCCCTGATTATCGATCAACTGGTAATCGTTTAATCACATGCACTTTAGCTTAAGTAACCCCACTTCTAAACCAACGACTGGAACCATTTCACATTCCAAAATAGGAGTTTTTAAACTACACTCTACCTTTCTATCTTGGTTACAAAGATGAACACTGAAATTAGAAGAGCACACTAGCCAAGCACCAGACAGCGCTAGCATTACGAATATAAAAATTATTCGAAAACAATGTACTCACTTTGTGAATTCATAGTTCAAGGTTCCAAGCTCATGAAGAACAGCTGGATCATTCGGTGCGAGGGACAAGGTGTGCTTTAAAAAACGTTCAGCAAGCTTCTTATTACCACTTCTCCCATACTCCACACCGATATACAACATTGGAATGTGAGAACTGCAGGAGAGGAATAAATACATTTTACTCTTAACTAAATAAACGGCTAAAAAGAGAGATGAAGGGGAGGGGGGGGGGGGCATTAAGCTTACGTTCGTATAACCTGAGCGGCGGTACAGTAAGCAGCAATAGCTTGATCATGCTCGTTATCTGCTGCATGGGCATGGCCCAGGGCTAACCAGGCATAACCAAAACGTCGATCCTCGTGTGTTGCTTTCCTGTTGAAAAGAAAGAACATAACTGGACACAACAGTAGATCATCATATTTATGATTAACTTCATTGCAAAGTTTACCAGTGCACAAAAGGATCGGACACATTTGCTAATAATAACGGAATAAACTATTGAACAATTACCTCAAACTCTAGCCCACATTAATTAAATTTGAGCAATATTAAAAACAATGAATATCGACTTCAAAATTGCTCCAATATAATTCGTCCATAATCATAAAATCGATGCTCTAAACAGAATGAAGTGAAATTATTAAAATCTACTTCTAATAAATAAAATCTTTAAAAGTAAGGCAAATAACCCACATAGGCGGAAGTATTTCATTTAGGGAATAATTTTACGCAGACGTCTTAAATACTAATTTTTAGGAGACTTCGTAAAAAAACAAATGAGAGTTGAGAGATACAGTAATGTTGAAACTAAGTAAGGAAATACATCTCCCAAAGTAGAATTTACTTAAGCAGAAAATACCAAACCACTTAATTTTAAATCAATTTTTAAATTATCGAAATTAATCCAGCTTACCTAAGATGACGTTTGGCGAGATCATGTTTCCTAGTGGAAAGGCAGTAGGTACCCGTAGCAAACCAAGCAATCTAAAGGAAGCAGTGGGCATTAAGCACAAAACAGTCAAACTTACAGCCGATTTGGGATAGATGCTGACCAATTGGTTTGCAAGAGCAAAGAGGTCTAATTAGAGCAATTAGAAAAAAAGAAACAACTTACCATTCGTTTTATCCAACATCTTCAGAATAGAAATATGGATAGGAAGGCACTCGGGATTCAAAGGATCATCTTCAAGAATACTAAAAGAGAAGCAATCAAATACCTTACTACAAATCTTACCGAGAAGTAATTTCATAGACTTTTTTATAATGGTTTATAGAGAGATAGAACTCGGCCAGATTAAGAATAACTTCAAAACTCTCTTTCAGTGGCTCCAAACCACAAGGAATGTTAGTGGGAAAGTCTTCGGGATGTTTGCGCATATAAATAGCCTCGACAAGTGATGTCATCTCAGGAGAGAATCCTACTAAATCGAGCTTTGAGATTTGTTTTTGATCTAGTTAAAAAAGCTAATAAAAAATAGATGTGAACAAACCATCCTCACACATGGCTTCAAGGCTTTGCAACCGCTCCAAAGCTTCAAAACAGAAAGGATCTTGTCGAAAAGCTTCCTTGTAATTAACAATAGCTAATGCAATATTGTTGAGCGCTACATGAACATGGCCTCGAAGAAGACTAACACTACTAGTGAGCTAAAATTTCAGTAAATACAATTATTGTTTGAAATCAAATTAAAGCATAAGTACATACCATAGACACACTGACGCCTTCAGGAAGATAAGTATGGTCCAGAACGCTTGCTGTAAGATCGAGTTGACCTTTAGGATTTGGAAAATGAATAAATGCGCCAGAAGAAAATCGAAGACCGCTGCGCTGATTTGCCTCCATGTTATCTAGCACATTGAGGGCTTCAACAAATCCATGACATTTAAAATAACATTGGGCGATTAAAAATCGACCATAATAACTTTCCTGCGGGGATATTTTATATAGAAAATTGAACGCAAACCCTGAGTTTCTCATTTCGATTCAATAAATCAATCGCTCGGTGATATTGACCGGAATTTATTAGAACATCGGCCAGTAAGAGTGTATCTTTAATAGTGTCTACAAGGATAAATAAATACAAATACAATATGACCTTTTGATATTTTTATCAGCTTGTCTGCCCAAAAGACAGCTGATCGGTATTGATGCTAAATTTCCAATGTTATTGAAAAATACTATCGAACCATTTTCACACATCTCTGAATTAAGACCCGCAAAGCTGTTATATCTTCAGTCATATCAATAAAATTAACTCCGGCGCTTAATCCCTTATCCAATAAATTATCTAAGAGTACCCGATTGGTTAAAAAGATTCAAAGTTGAATATTTTAAAGTTTATAAAGAAATCAAATGTCCTTATACATTTTTAAATTTAAATGCCTTGTAAGATCTTAAACCGGGTGAATTTTGCCAAGAGGATAGCGCATTTGCAGCATCAAATTAAACTTACTTCTTATCGCTATACATTTTCCTTAAGCAATGTTACAAGATACCAAGCCAAATTGAATCATATAGATCAGCAACTCTGTTATATTAAATTGTCAAACTCATATAATGCCATATTGGATAAAACTTTGAAAGTTAAAGCATTTTCAGAAGGGTTAAAAGACCTTACGTTGTGCAGTACACGCGATTAAAAGACAAATATTGGCTTTGTGAAATGTTCAGAAATGTAATTAACTGCACTTTGAAACATCTGCTTTGAGCAACTCTCTTGTAATTCAACAATTGGAACAAATTTTGTAAACGATTATTGAGGTGAGACTATAAATACTAATTACTTATTTGGGCTCATTTTCGCTCCCAAATCCCACCTTTTATCAACCATCACTTCTGGCTTTTGAGTAAAGAAGAATGAAATAAGTATACGTGAATAAAATAATATTCACACAAACTATATTAAATTTGCAGTAATCTAGAAAGAAATACTAAGCCAGACGAAATTATTGTAATCCACACGTTCCACAAGCTTATAATTAGCTTGTCTTAAACCATCATCCATCATACTTTTGTAATTGTTTCTATTCGCCAGAAGGTCAAAACGATCTGGATTCATAATCCTCTTGTGGTCAATGTCGAACTCATAGTATACACCCTCCTCTTGCTTTGGTCGATACACCGTCAAGTTGACTATCTTTGCTCGATTCCACAAATCGTCATCTTCTCCACCCCAATTCAGAAAAGAATTTGAGGCTCCATTCATCTTCTCAAGTTGTTTTCTTGTAAACATTACGATTCCTCCAAGAAATGTGGAATAAGATCTAAAATGTAAACGATCATTGTTAATTTGCGTTTTACCAAAACATTTAGTCTGAAATTCAAACTACCTACATCCGAAACCCGCTTTCATACCTCCTTTCTGTCATCAAACAATGAGGTCCAGACTTACAGATGTAGGGTACATTAGGATAAACCGGCAACTTGTCTATGTCATGAAATGCAAAACAATCATATCCTGCTAATCTGTCATGAGGATTCGAACCACTGTTTGCCCTGTCCACTTCACGAATAGCGGCATTGAATAGAAGGCCTTTGTTGAATGACCCATTTGACCTTTGTTCAACCACCAATATATCCATACTTGCACCTTGGAAGCAAAAGTAAGAAGGCATATATAGAAGAAATTGGAGGAGATCTTGTCGACGATCTTTGGCTGGAATGACTATGAGAAACTTTGAAAGGCTTTTGTTAATCCGACATTCATTTTTGTCGTACCGTAGAGAAGCCATTCCATCCATTTCTGCATAAGTTAGATCAGGTTTGTAAAGAGTCACGGTTAAATCATGAATTTTACTCATATTTGGATAAACGTGACGAGGATTGTAGTAATTGAAATAGCGAAACCACGTATAGTATGTTAATCCAAATGCAAGAATGATAAAAATGATGAAATGATCTCTTGTAATTGCCATGATGAACAAAGCAGCCTTTTCTCAGGAGATTTAGATAGTTTTGTAAAGGAATCCTTTGTGGAAATTTGCTGCAACTGCCTCTAAATGTAAACCTCAAGCACACTTTAAAAGGTAAAGTGAAATGTACGCTACCGAAAAATGTTTGAGTAATATTTAGACGACAAGGTGAGAGGTAAATGGTTCTATTTACCTTAAATTTTCAACATCACTAAAGGTTTAACGATATTAATTGAAGAAAATCGATTTCCATTTCCTAAAACATCTGATTTCAGTTAATACCTTTGCTAACTTTGAAATTTGTTAAATATCCGCTCATGAAAAGTCGAATTACAATTTTTAAAGTGGATTATCTAAATTTGTCAAGTACACAGACCAAAAAAGTTGTCAAAAGATCTTCTGGAATGCGTGACTGTGCTGCAGATCATGTTAGGGAGAAAAGGAGTGGACTAATGCAGTGATCTCCCAACCAATCGAAAATCAATAGTCATTCTAGGATCAACCTATCTGAAACAGTACTTAACGACGGAGCTCTGTGACAGTGACATCAGAATAACTACCTCAATGAAGGTGTTCCTCGTCATACTTTCTGTTTCCTCGATGCTGTTGAGGTGGATAGACCAATCAGAGTAGTCGTCTTCAGGTTGATGGATTGAGAATATAAAAATGTAGGAACTCAGAAGTGGACTGGAATTGCCCAACATTGTTGAATTACAAACCGATAAATTCAATTTTATCATTTTTAGGGTTTTATTAGTTGTTGGGAGTAGCTGGGGTGTTAAACTGCTTATTTTAGTCTATTTTGAATCTTTCAATATACAAACAAAAATTCGTAGTAATCATTAAGAGTTGGATATTATCTGTGCGACTTTTGGTAAGGGATAGATTTATTCCTCCACAGAAATTAATGAAAATTGAAAAATAATGAATAAGTTAATGGGATATTATGTCAAAAGTAACCGAACAGGTATCGAATTTCCCAACTATAAATATGTTTACGTTGGAGGACAATTTTCATGCATTATTTTTTACTGTGGATAGTAACTTCGTGGTTAAGTCAGAATAAAATTTGAAACGACAAGTTGAGGTTTCTTAGAGGAACAAAATTTTCCGCACCACTTTCGAAGATGTAAGGTATATATTAGGTTATACTGATAAAGGGCTATTTATCACTGCTGAATGCTGTTGAAGAGAGGATCATTACACAACTGCTCAAGTATCACTTGCGGATTTCAATTTTTAACAACAAAAAAGTATCCTAAATGACTTTCAATTATCTCAGACAAAATGACCAAAGTCCTTCGAACATTTACACAGTAGAGGTTTTATTTAATGGCAGCTAACTGCAAAGTCGAATATTATTAAACTTATTCGAGATACCAGAATCCTGTTATTGATCACTGAAACCACGTGGTAACATCTCTCCCCATACATCGCTTGCCAACAATTATTTCACTAGGAAGCTACATTTATAATTTTGGTTCATTTTATAATATCTCAACATATTTAAACTCGTTCATTTTAAAATATCTTTAACTAAGTGAAGGATTACTGATTATTCATGTTGATTTTTTCAACATAATACACAAAATAGTAAATTTGAATAGGACTTCTATACTTCAGTGCAAGAGTTGGGAATCCAATAGAAATGGTACTGTAGTATTTAATAAGTTTTCAGCCCTTTTATTGAACGATTACAGCCTGTTAGACAGAAGGAAAAAGTGCTAATATGATCACCTTCAGAAAGCCAAATTCAAAAAAATCAAACGAATAGTTTCTTTTGGGAACTTTTCCCTTCATCGCTTATTATGGAGTTACTTTGCCATTGACCATTGACAAAGAAAGTAGATTATTTTTTCTTCACTTCTTGAGCTTCCACTTTTCAGGATTTTGCCAGTGTCAACAAAACAGCTCACCCTCTTGGAGAAAAGAGGGAGCCCATCCGTGTAGGGTTGAAATTTGAGGGGAGAGCCAAGTGGGTGTGCGATAGACTTACCTCCACGTGGTGCACCCTGGAAATATGCCTTCACTATCAACATCTTATTTGGAAGCGGAGGGGTGTGTGCGATAGACTTACCTCCACGTGGTGCACCCTGGACAGCGTGCGATAGACTTACCTCCACGTGGTGCACCCTGGGCAACTTGCGATAGACTTACCTCCACGTGGTGCACCCTGGGCAACGCCTCCTCAAACGGCAAAAAGTCTATAAACCGGCAGTTGACTCCTGACTTCAAACTACCATCGCCCCACTGTATGTCATATACTACATACTCATCTCACCTTTTTTCTACCTTTGTGTCTGTCTCTTCTACATCTGTGAATCATTAATCCATCGGTAACTGAGTTTACTATGGGCTCACTATTATCCTTGATTTCAAACGACCACGGATTTGCTGTCAAGGCAAACAGACGAATGATAAATTACGTCAGTTCAATCTAATAGTCATTTAAATTAGTGAACATGTTGAGATTAAACTTGTTTAAAGGCCTAAACTTTATCAGGTAATTTTTTTTGCATTTCCAGTTTGCGTAGATAATTCAGCCGAAATTTGATTAGCATCATGTTGTGCTATTAAGTTGCCTCTTTTTTTCAAATATAAACCTAGTACTTTCAGGCTCTCCATAAGGTCCTCTGCCTCATTTCTCTTTTTGTCAGCGATGTCTCATGTACTTTAATACTGAACGTCCTTACACAGATTGAGTAAAGTGAACTCAATAAACCCTAAGCACCGGGCAGATTACTACTCATACATTTGCTTTAAAAGCAATTACGACGGAAATTGCTTTCCTTTTATGCATTACCTCTACATTTTCTGTTGTTCTTAATTTTGATCTTATTTACATTCAAGGGAGCTTTGGGTGGAATAATTTATTGAAACGAGATGTTCAACCTTAGTTTTCAGGATGGTCTGACGAACTTTTATCACTCCTTAATTTCATGAATTGAATTATGCACTATTTGCCTAACAAGTAGTGCACTGCTTTGTATTCCAAGACTCAAAAATTGTTCCTGAGTAAATGCACATTAAGTAAGAGGTGATGATGATCGGAAATAAAATTTGTGCTTTATAGTTACATTATTAGCTAATTGAATCTCAAATGCCGAAAAGTTGCTCATACGATGAACTAGGCAATGCTAAATTAAATTAAATTAAATCGTGATTGCTGCCAAAAGAACACGAATCAATGGTGTTTGAAGCGTTGTATATGCTCTAACACTGCCAACTTCACTTAAAAGTGTGGAAGAAGTGAGGGTTGAGTGTAAACTGTGTCTAAATGCGAAACTTCTGCTTGTAAAAATAATATCAGTAATGCCTTATTGTGTTAATAACATTAAATTCCTTATTCCACATTTATTTGAAGTAAATATTGATACAAATCTGCATTTCAATTCTTTCTCCTCTTGTTATAAACTATTTGTGCTCTGTTTTTTGGTAAGAAACCTGTACTGTTTACCCCATGTAACAGAGAACTGAATGTGTCAGTTTGAAAATGCTTTAAAAGATCACAACCGATGAAAATTGACACCAGACATTTCTCAATGACTATTGGGGTCTATTTATTTATAATAAATGGCAGGCGTTTTGACGGTTATCATTAGCTCTATAGTTGACTTCAGGCTTCACAGAGGGGAAGTAACATGAATGTGAAAAAAGTCGAAAGTGGGTGGGGGGGGGGGGGGGGGGGGACAGAAGAGTGTTTCAAATATATAAAAGAGACAGTCAAAAAGGTAGAAGAAAGGTAAGGAAAGCACTGTAGAAGTATTGAAAAATGACATACAATGGAGTGATGGTAGTTTGAAGTCAGAAGTCAACTGGCGATTAATAGACTTTTTTGTCGTATGGGTTTACGTTGCCCAGGATGTACCACGTGGAGGTAAGTCCATCGCACACCCCTGACTATTGGGGTTTATCTCACGAATAGATATCAAGTTGTAGTGACTTGCTTCGGCGCTTTACAGAATTAATGGCAGTAGGAAGTTTTAAAAAAGTGATATTAAAATTTTGTATTTTCATGTAACCTCATTTAAATTAATAATGTGGTTTATTTCATTCCAACGATCAGTGCCTACTAAAATTGTGTATACCTGTTGATTAATAAAATTATCGCCTCACTTGCGTTATTGACGAGGAAGGTCCACAACTATGCAAAAGATTCGTTTAACAAACTGTGAGCTAATGCAACCCGAATTTCCCTTTTAAGGAGTTTATTTGCTTCCTAGACAAGCATTTTATGCATATTTTGAGTAGAAGACGATGGTGCTAACCTGGTTCGTCCCTGGGCAAACAACGATTCACAGAAGCTGATTTTGGGGTAAAGCCTGTGAAATCTATGCCCCTTTTGAAACTTAACGTGTTCCACGTGATATATCTGTTTGCATAGGCTATAGAGAAAACAGACATATCGCACGGAACACGTGTATTTGGAAGTATTTTTTTGTTAAAAGCGTACATCCCGGAAGGTTAGTCATAATCAACATGGTGGATTAGATAAAACAAACGGGGGCTTTTAATTGGCCATTGATTGTGCGGGCATGAGATTACTTTTTAGGCGATGACGTTTCCAAAAATATCCCCTTCTTCACCCAAATTTCCCTTTTGCAATTATTTTTTGCTTTCTAGGCGAACATTTTATTTATATTTGAGTAGAAAGCATTTGCTTGAGATCATAGGCAGTGATGAATCATTAAGGAAATTTAATGGCCGTCTACAGTAGTCGAACAATTGTTCTACTTTCAGAAGAGTAATCTTACGTTCTGATTGTTGAAACAGCTGCTGATAATTTATTTGTCCTGCTTTAAATAGGGGCGTACTTGTCAACCATCATGTATACAAGTAGCCGTTTACGAAGTAAAAAAATCAGTAAATAAGCACCTGGGAGACAATTAAATTCAATGAAATAATTCCAGAATTAAAGAAATAAAATATTGCGGTATTGAAGGTATATTAACAATAAGAAACTGACTAATGATACGTTCACGTTTATTGTGTTCGAATCAATCTCTCCAGGCCTGATATATCCTGCAATATGACATATTCTCACTCTCACTCCTTGAGATATGAGTTCATCTCATTAAATGCCCTCTTCGTGTGTCCACCTTATCTGCCTCATGACTCATACACGATTTCATAAATCTCTCACGTTGCCATATTTACGGCTAATTATTATGGTTCATTTGTCTACTTTATGGATTTCTTCTTCTGTTAGATAACGATATATATACATGGGGTCCAGTGAACAAGATAAAGATGGATTAACTGATATTGTCAGCAGATGACAGTCGATACTTGTGATCGGCGTGAAAAAAATTTAGACCGAATAATCCATTGTAGTTCATGTGGATTCTACTTAGATTCATATAAGGACGTCAATCACGAACAGAGACATCAATGACTAGTCATGACTGAAATCTACCGAAAAAGAAACAGCGACCTGAGGAACTTAATTTATTCCTTCGTAATAATTCAGTTTCATATTAACGGACGTTCTGAACTTTTAAGCGTTGTTTCCTTTGCCTATGCGGACTGATTTATTTTTTCCAATAATTTGATAAGAAATGGGAGAAAATCCATCAAGTTTCTTATTTTGTAATCATTTTTATTTCTGATTGGCCGGCCAGATTTTGAAGAGAGAGAGAGAGAGAGAGAGAGAGAGATGGGCCTTAGTCGGAATACAATTAGCCTCTCATGAGTGGATATTGCATGCATTGCTGACTTGAGCTTACGTGGTTGACCAAATAGAGAGAGGCAAATATGAAGAAAAAGATTTGACTATTTGCCTATAAAAATTTATGATGTATATGGCCAATGAGACGCTGGAATCCAAACAATACTAACTGATTACTTGCCAACCCTTGTTTTGACTGAAGCAGTTTTGTCAACAAGATGACCGAGATGACAGTGCTGATTTCCGAGTATTGTGGGAACATTATGGCATTTCTCAATACGAATAATGCGGAGCTCCGGAAATGCTTACCTGCTTTAAGCTCTCTACATAAGGAACCTCCCATGTTCTTGCTAACTTGGATATTGCCTAACTACTTTTGGGATCGGAGTTCTACCACACAACCATAATACAGGGTAATTAAATTTTACCGATTTATTCAAAATAAAAAGTATTCCAATCGATTGATCAGCTTAGAATCGGACTAACTATCGGTGAAAAGACCATTTTACAATAATAACAGTAATAATCACTATAAACAAATATTTTCCATTTAGGCCTATTGGCGCTTACTATACGTTTATGTGGTGCATATTACACAAATAAGCCAATTACTAAATCTTTTTACTGTAAATTTGTCAAATTTAAGTTAATTGAATGAAGCAGTACATTTCAACATAATTATCTTGGCTCATCAGCTAATTAAATTATTCTTTATGAATAAACGTGAATGTAAATTATAGGTTATCATGAAGGAGGAAAAATGGGAAAGTTGAATTTACGCTACTTTGGTCTATTATTGCATTCGAAGAATTATATTTTTTAATAATATTTGTTATAAAACAGTATTCTCAATATCTTTTTTGTACCATTAGAACATGAAATATAAAAATTTTAAACCATTGCTTCATAAAATTACTTCTCTGTGATTTTTTCAAAAGCATGGAATTACGAACTTTGAATCAACGTTAACTCGATTCCTAAATAACAAATTAACTTTACTTGGAAATCAAAATAAGGAAAGAAAGGTACAGCGTTTAAGATAGAATAAAAGGTATTTTTTTTAAACATTAATAATATTTTTCACTGGTGCACCCTGGGCAACGTATACTCGTACGGCAAAAAAGTCTATAAATCGGCAGTTGAGTTCTGGCTTCTAACTACCACCACCCCACTGTATGTCAAATTCGACTACTTCAACCGTACTCACATCACCTTTTTCCAACTTTGTGTCTGTCTCTTTTACATCTTTGAAACACTCTTTTGTCCCTCCCCCCCCCCATCTCGACCTTTTTCACTTTGCTGTTCCTTCCCATCTGTGAAGCCTGAAGTCAACTAAAGGGCTAATGAAAACTATCAAAACGCCTACCATTTGATATAAATAAATAAATAAAATAAATAAATATTTTTCACTGGTTGTTGAAAATGCTATTTTACTAAATTTAATGTGACTTGTTTAGGCATTGTTTCGCATGCAGTCAGGGGTGGTAGTAGGATTGTGTGGTACTTATGTTCAATTTGTGCTCGCGTTACAAATATGTGGGGTTTTTCAATTGATAACACTTATTTCTCACCAAGTATTTCAAAAAATCTAAATCTAATGCAATGACCTACTTTACCTATCGGCTCGTACTGTTTAAAATCACAATTTCACTTCTTTTAAAAATTGGCATTTGGTATCTTAGCAGTTGCTCATCACCAATTATTATAACAAATAGTGATAATTAGCTTTTTTTACAATGAATAACCCAATTCTCTCATATTTTGAATTAATTCCTAAGGTTAGATGAAGAATTATTTCTAAATGCATTTAAATGCAATTATTCTTGCACCGTTTTCTTCGAAATTGCTGGATTTGAAGTGATTAAAGTGTTTTCAAAAGAGCAACCATTATTAGCCACTAATAAAACAAATTGGTAATTGCATCTACTTAAAAGTTATTGAAAAATATTAACGCCACCACTTAATGCTTGCTAAATTTACAATTTTTACTCAAAACGTAATGTTTGTGAAGCAACATTCCATAATAAATAGACATTTAATGATTCACTTTTTGAAATGCATCGCTTTGGAAATTTGTGAGAACCTTGTCCAAAGGAAAATCGATGAATAACGATATTTGTAAAATTTGACTTCAATAATTTGATAAAAATATTGTCCTCGAATTAACTGATGGTTTTAATGGACTGAATTTACATTCAGCCGCCGGATATGAATGTGATATTTTTATTTTTAAGACAAGTAAACACTACTGCCATTATATTTTTAAGAGCAAAATGAATCTGTGCTCAGGATTCGACCATCAAATTATTATTAATCCACGTTGAAGTTATCTTCGGACTTCCATTACAAAAACTTCTTTTGATATTCTTCTCGTCACTGAACTTGAACCATTTTCATTAATCGCCTATTGAAGTAGAGTCTTACGGGTATTTCTTAAAATTTGAAAGAGAAAGTGTGTGGCACTTTATTGGAAGGAAAAGAGACTTCCCTACCAATCAGCAAGCATTGGCCGTCTCAACGTTGACTAAGCTACGTGACAGTTCGCCACGTTCACAGTGAAAGTAGCTTGATTGTACGTTCACTGTTCTCGATCCCATTGAAGTAGCTTAACTACTTTCGAGTGTGTTCTTAAACCAGAGCACTTTTGACAGAATGCGGGTGCATGGGTCGGATCCATTTGAACTTCCTTATAATCACCACTCGTTCCTTTTCCTTTTGATATATTACTAGTTATCAAGCCAAATTGAATCATAAAGATCAGCAACTCAGTGATATTAAATTTTCAAACTCATATATTGTAATATTTAATTAAACTTTGAAGAGAAAAGCATTTTCAGAAGAGTTGAAAGACTTTACATTGTGCAGTATACGCGATTAAAAGACAAATATTGGTTTTGTGAAATGTTCAGAAATGTGATTAACTGCACTTTGAAATATCTGCTTTAAGCAACTCTCTTGCAAGTCAACAATTATGGTAAATTTTGCAAACGATTATTGAGGTGAGACTATAAATACTAATTACTTATTTGGGCTCATTTTCGCTCCCTAATCCCACCCTTTATCGACTATCACTTCTAGCTTTTGAGTAAAGAAGAATGAAATAAGTATACGTGAATAAAATAATATTCACACAAACTATATTAAATTTGCAGTAATCTAGAAAGAAATACTAAGCCAGACGAAATTATTGTAATCCACACGTTCCACAAGCTTATAATTAGCTTGTCTTAAACCATCATCCATCATACTTTTGTAATTGTTTCTATTCGTCAGAAGGTCATAACGATCTGGATTCATAATCCTCTTGTGGTCATTGTCGAACTCATAGTATACACCCTCCTCATGCTTTGGTCGATACAATGTCATGTTGGCTATCCTTACTCGATTCCACAAATCGTCATCTTCTCCACCCCAATTCAGAAAAGAATTTGAGGCTCCATTCATCTTCTCAAGTTGTTCTCTTGTAAACATTACGATTCCTCCAATAAATGTGGAATAATAACTAAAATGCCATAAAATCATGCTTGTTATTATTTTTTATAATAAGATTTAAATCAAAATTTAAAATACCCACATTTGAAACCCACTTTCGTGTCTCTTTTCTGTAATCAAACAATGAGGTCCAGACTTACAGATGTAAGGTACATTACGATAAACCGGCAACTTGTCTATGTCATGAAATGCAAAACAGTCATATCCTGCTAATCTGTCATGAGGATTCGAACCACTGTTTGCCCTGTCCACTTCACGGATAGCGGCATTGAATAGAAGGCCTTTGTTGAATGACCCATTTGACCTTTGTTCAACCACCAATATATCCATACTTGCACCTTGGAAGCAAAAGTAAGAAGGCATATATAGAAGAAATTGGAGGAGATCTTGTCGACGATCTTTGGCTGGAACGACTATGAGAAACTTTGAAAGGCTTTTGTTAATCCGACATTCATTTTTGTCGTACCGTAGAGAAGCCATTCCATCCATTTCTGCATAAGTTAGATCGGGTGTGTAAAGAGCCACGGTTAAATCATGAACATGACTCATATTTGAAAAAACACGTCTATAATTGTAGTATCGGGAATATCGAAACCATGTAAAATATATTAGTCCAAATGTGAGAATAAGGAAAATGATGGAGCGATCCCTTGAAATTTCCATGAAGAACAAAGCAACATTTCATCAGAAGGTTCAAGTATTTTTATAGCTAAGCCCTTTGTGGTAATTGGTTGAAATTTCACCAAAACGCAGCCCTCACGCACACTTTAAAAGGTAAAGTGTGGTGTACTCAAGTAATATTTTGACGTCTATGTGCAAAGAAAGTCAATGAATTTGCTTTTAGTGCCTATTCATTTTGAAATTGGTTAGTTGGTCTAATGGAAAGTACGTTTAAAAGTCGATTTTTTTAATTTTTAAAGTGGAGAAAAGGAGTGGACTAATGCAGTGACTTCCCAACCAATCGATAATCAATAGTCATTGTAGGATCAACCTATCTGAAACAGTACTTAACAACGGAGCTCTGTGACAGTGACATCAAAATAACTACCTCATTGAAGGTATTCCTCGTCATACTTTCTGTTTCATCGATTTTGCTGAGGTGGATATGCTGATCAGAGTAGTCGTCTTCAAGTTGTTGATTTTGCCATAGAGATTGTTGAGTTTTATTCAAGAATTATTTGCGTATCATTTCGCCACATCCGTGGGAAGCGTTTTCTTTTACTGTCGCAACAGCTTAAAATCGAATTTCTATCACATTATCTAATGGTCATATATGCGTTTTGAATGAATATTTGATGTCCAAGAGAGATGAATGAGTTCCGTTGAAAGTGGGAAAGGGAATATTTATTTATTTCAAATTGCAGGCGTTTCGGTAGCTATCATTAGCCATTTAGCTGACTTCGGGCTCCACAGAGGTTTGATAGCTATCATTTGCCATTTAGCTGACTTCAGGCTTCACAGAGGGAAGACATTAGCCATTTAGCTGACTTCGGGCCTCACAGAGGGAATGCCATTTAGCTGACTTCGGGCTCCACAGAGGTAAGGTTCATCAAAGTAGCAGAAAGTCGAGGAGTGGGGAACAGAAGAGCGATTGACAGATGTTAAAGAGGCAGGCAGACAGAGAAAAAGGTAGTATGAGTGCTGTAAAAGTGTTGGAATATGACGTACAGTGGGGTGATGGCAGTTTGAAGTCAGAAGTCAACTGACAGCTTATAGACTTTTTTTGCCGTATGAGTATACGTTGCCCAGGGTGCACCGCATGGAAGTAAGTCTAGCGCACACCCCGGAAGGAGAATATAAAAATTTTGAACTCAGAAGTGGACTGGAATTGCCCAACATTGTTGAATTACAACCCGATAAATTCAATTTTATCATTTTTAGGGTTTTGTTAGTTGTTGGGAGTAGCTGGTGTGTTAAACTCTGCTTATTTTAGTCTATTTTGAATCTTTCAATATACAAACAAAAATTCGTAGTAATCATTAAGAGTTGGATATTATCTGTGCGCCTTTTGGGAAGGGATAGATTTATTCCTCCACAGGAATTAATGAAAATTGAAAAAGGGAATAAACTAATGAGACATTGTGCAGAAGTAACTGGATATATGTCAAATTTTACCACTGTAAATGCGTTTACGTTGATAGAAAATTTTATGCGATATTTATTTCTTTAGATATAAAATTCGTCGTTAAGTCAGTAGAAAATTTGAAATGACAAGTTTGAGGTTTCTTAGAGAAATAAAACTGTCCACACCATCTTCGAAGAGGTAAGGTATATATTAGATTATACTGAGTGCTGTAGAAGAGAGTATCAGTACGCCACTGACTAGGCATCACATGCGGATTTCAATTTTTAACGACTAAAAATTATCCTAAATGACTTTCAATTATCTCAGGCAAAATGACCAAAGTCCTTCGAACCTATACTCAGTAGGGTTTTTAATTAATGACGGCAAACTGCAATCTAATTCGAGGAATAAGAAGCGCAGCGGATTGCTTCACTAGTGAAGCTAGACTCCCAGAACTAACTAAGCTACAACCCACATATGGAGGAAACAGACTTGTCGCACGAAACACGTTTACTCAGGAAGTATATTGTGGGCGAATTGTTGGTCATAAACAAAATGGCTGATTCGCTTAAACCAACGCAGGCATCTTATTGGCCTTTGTTTGTGCGCACGAGCGACAACGCATAGGCGATGACGTGTCCCACAGAAGCCATGCGTTGATCACTGAAACCAGGTGGTAACATCTCTCCCCATACATCGGTTGCCAATAATTATTTCACTAGGAAGCTACATTCATAATTTTAGTCCATTTTATAATATCTCAACATATTTAAACTCATTATTTTTAAAAATATCTTTAGCTCAGTGAAGGATTTCAGATTATTCCTGTTGTTTTTAACATAAAATACAAAATAGTAAATTTGAATAGGACTTCTATACTTCAGTGCAAGAGTTGGGAATCCAATAGAAATGGTACTGTAGTATTTAATAAGTTTTCAGCCCTTTTATTGAACGATTACAGCCTGTTAGACAGAAGGAAAAAGTGCTAATATGATCTCCTTTTTAAAAAATCTTGTGCAGTAGAATAAAAAATTTTGCTGGTGAAGTTGTTCAATTCTTTAATACAAACATTGGAGTATTCATTAATATGAACAGTGATACCAATTAATAATTGTACGTTAGCCCTTTAGACAAACACCACTTAATGTTCAGATTCATTGTCAAATTGTACGACTAAATAGTCAACTATATTGTTTAAAGTTAGTTGTTACTCAATTGATTAAAGTAGCAAATATGTTTCAAGACACCATGTAATGCCAAATAATTTAGTCTTTGTACTATAATTATTTGATTCG